ATTGATGACGTCAAATTTTCAAACTCAATTTTTAGCAATTCTAGACCCCGTAGCGCAAAACAAAGACCACCATTAGACTCCCCGTGACGAGCTGCATCGAATCAATACCCAAATTATGCAAAAATATCAACTTTAAAATTTGACCTTTTTTGGCCTGACCTTGACCTGACCTTGACCTGAACTTCACCAGAAAGTGACCTAAGCCGTACCTGATAGTCTTATAACCAACACCATTGAGTTGGAAATGAAAAATTGGCCATAAAACATGTATCACACAACCTTAGTAAAGTTGGGCTCATGTGACCTGACCTGTGACCCTTGGTGACCTGACCTGTGACCTGACCTGGTATTGCTAGTGACCTCTAATAGCAACATATCTACTAGGCAACTGACGCCCTACCGCTGATTCTCGACAAAATGCGTTTTCCTCGGTGTTATAGCGCATTCCCTAGAAGACCCGTGAACGGTGAAACATTTCATCTTTGACCTGACCTGTGACGTCATCGGTGACCCCGAGGTCAATGAAATTTGGTTTCCTTCGACAAATTTGACAGGCCTTTCGAACGCCGTTTGAATTTTGCGGATCCGTCCAGTAGTTTCGGAGATACGAGGGGGGGGGCAAAAAATAGCCCCCCCCCCCACCAGGTCGCGTTATAAACAGACCCCACCAGGGCGCGGGTTAAGGTGGGAGGGTCCCTTTAATTTTGGCATTTTAACATTAGCCCTATGGGCGTTGCATGGAAAGAATCGGACCGAAAGTCGGCAGTGCCCCCCCCCCCCCTTAATTGAAGGTGTTCCGCCGCTACTGTTTAGAACAACTGTAAGCTGCAGGCTCAGCTGTTCAGTTTCTACCTATGCCTGCAAACACAATAAAATCAATGGAAGAGTAATAATAGACTAAATGCATTTTATTGATGCTATTCAAGTATCAATGGTAACTATGTCACCGATGATTCAATATTATTTGCACGGCATCATTTACCACCACAGTCTAAATATTTAGCATCTAAAATAATGCAGTAAAATAAGCTGCGCCACGTCTGTCGACAAAATCTGGTGCCAACTCAAGGTCAAACGGAAAATGTGGGCACGACACCAATGTCCGGCAGCTGAATGCGACCTACGAGTTGGGACTTACTATAATTTCATCAGCTATCAACGATATATTTTTACGACACAGTGGATGCGGTCCGCACACGGTTTCCGTACGGACCGGATGCGCCGCATAGGGTTCTGTGGTAAATTCCGTACGGACCGAGAACAGTCCGCACAGTGGACGGCGGCCTTAGGTCACAGGTTAAAGGTCATTTGGATAAGGATCATAAAATTTAGAGGGTAGATGTACAAATGAAGAACGCTAAGGTTCTGACAGTTTCGTCGCGATCGGCCGCTTTTTACGCGATTTATTCGCGAAAAAACGAGGGGGTCCATTCGATCCCCCTATACGGGCGAGGGTTAAGTTCCTGTTGTAACAGTTATTCATATATGTATCTCGACAATTATTATCTTAACCCTCAACCCGTAGGGGAGGGGGGGGGGGCGAAATGGCCCTCCTTGTCCTTTTCCGTAAATATGTATTTACTATATCTCCTGAAACTACCGCAAAACTGCAGATGTCGTGATCAAACTTTTACGACACCTCCGGGCATCAATTTTGCACAATAGGTATTTTTTCGATCTAGCGCGTCTTAATTCCAAAAACCTCTTTTGGGTTTTTGATTACCTTTTTTTCATCAGCTGGGCTAAAAAATGTTTGAACATTCCATATATAGCATTGTTTTATCTGTATGTATATTCCCAGCAAACTAGAAAGTAGAAACAATGTACCCAAAGTTCACACTATTCATGAGTGGTTGCTCAATGGGCTCTGTAAGTCCTGAAAGTATAGCTTAAATGCATTATCTAGTCCTGTTGGTTTTGTTCCTGTGAGCTCTCAAAATTGCATTCCTGAAAGGCACTTTTATTAGGAAGGGATCATGGCAAACATAAATTATGCCACAACCTTACTTGTTTGGCTGCCGAAACTTGCCGGAACACGGAATATTCACATTATACTATCTTAACCCGGCACCGCCTGGGCTATTTCCGTACCCACGACAGCCTGGGGGGGGGGGGTCGGATCCGACCCCCCCCCCCTGTTATCTCGAGAACCAATGGTCGTATCGAGCCCCGCGAGGCGGCGTTCGAAAGGTCTCTACGAGACGTTCCCAAAGCACTCTTAAGATTTTAAGATTGAGGTCAACTTTCGGGTCAAGGTCAGGTCAAAGGTCAAATTCAGGGGTTTTGCATGATTAGGCTTACGGACAGCGAAATCGATAGCTGCTGCTCGAAACTCACCACAAATGACCTCAAAGACCTAGTGAAGGTACTATGTGCGTATAGGGGTCATACTAGGTACGGGTCAAGGTCAGGTCAGGTCACGAAAGGTCACGGTTTTCACTTTCTGCTACATGGGCGTGCGACACATGTTTTATGGCTTATTTTTCACGCCAAATCCGATGGTAATGGTTATATGTGACCCCAAGTCACTGTGCTGGTGATAAGTGTGCATTGAAAGCATAAAAAATCGTTTATACCATACATAACTAAACGAGGGCTAAGAAAAAAAGTCAATTTTTCAACTTTTTATTTTTGACATAAAAATGCACTTTTCTAGACGAACTTTGTCCCAGGAATCTAGTGGTGCCATTTGTTTTCACATGCGTTGTTCAGAAGTGCCTCTAATTCGCGAAAATGCTTATGACGTCACCATGCCCTATGCATGTTGGAGCTATTTTTTACAATTTGGGGGTCAGAAATCAAGATAGAAAGTTGAAATTTGGGACATCTAATGTTCTAATAGAGCTCTATAACATATATTCCGGTTTTTTGGAAATTCTCAAAATTTTGGATTTTATTAGATGTTTTCCAAAAAATATAGTTTTTTGAATTTTTAGGGGTGAAAAACGCATTTTATGGAAAATCCGAGATAGCCATTTTTAAGAACTCGTTGAGCTGCGTCTTTTCATGTCCTTAATTTGCAATTTGCTTAAAACCTCGATTTTTGGCGATTTTTTAAACATTTACCATTTTTTGACTGAAAACGCCATGAAGTTACATCACTAAAATCGATATATCTCAAAAACTTTTCAATTTTTTTTCTTAAAAATTGCACAGGAGACGTCAAATTGATGGGGGAGAAGGTATGCCAAGTTTCAAGTTGATAGCGCAAGCGGTTCATGAGTTATTCAAGAAAAACAGAGGGGGGGTCGGATCCGACCCCCCCAGGCGGTCGCGGGTTAATACCCAATTCCAGGAGCGCTAGGACACACATCACGATACGGAATCGCGATTCGGCGTATGTCGGCTCGCATTAGCCGCGCGTTTGCAGTCTCGTGGTTTTAACCCGCGCACCGACGGGGGTCTGCGCCAAATTCGCACCGACGGGGGGCGGATAACGGCCCACCCCCCCTGAGATCTCGAGAACGAAGCAAGATAGCGACAAGCGGTAAACGGCATCGGATACGCATGGACATGGTCTACAATTTTTACTAAGACCATTTTCAGGTCAGGTCAAAGATGACGTTACAGGGGTCGAAAAAGTCAAAATGGCGGCGCTAGATATGGGGAGAGTTTTTCTCGAATAACTTTCGAATTAGTCAAGATAGGAACAAACTAAGGGCATCATCGTGATCCTCTCGTCAATCCGCATCGAATGATATATGAGTTGACCTCGAAAGGTCAAGGTCAAAGGTTGACCTCAGGTCACGTGACCTCGAGGTCATCATGTATATCATTCGGTGCGTCTTGACGAGCTGAACACAATGAGACCATCCGCGCGGCTGTATCTTGTTCCTGTACGGAGTTATTGGCCAAAAACCTTTGGTGACCTTTGATGACGTCACATGACCTTAAAGCTGCCCAACAGCAAAACAGACCTCAAGATAGTGAAGGTTGATCGTATATGAAGTCATGTATGGTATATTGGGCCATTCCGACCCGTTTTAGTGGTAAAAACAGGGAGTTGATTTTTCCCCCATTGACTTATAATGGGGAGGTCGCGAAATTGACCTAACCTTAGGTCACCGACATCAAAATTCCGAGATATACAAATTGTAGCTACTAATGACCTAATAACATCCTGCGACTTTCAAAGGCCTCAGACATCTACTGTAGCTCTGGCACGGTGACAAAGTTGCAAAAAAGTGACTTGAGGTTGGGTCATTCAAAGTGACCTGGTGACCTGACCTTGAAAGTTAGAAGGTTCAAACTTGCACACCGTGTGCAAAATTGATGAGAGAATAGTCGTATCAAATTTCGCGGCGCTACGCGCTGCGGTTTTCCCGCTATCCGCGAAAAACCTCAGGGGGGGCGGATATCCGCCCCCCCGTCGGTGCGCGGGTTAAATATTCAACATGTGAAACAATGCTGGTGCCATGCATTATGTTGGGTGTCAAGGTCACTTGAAGGTCAGGTCAAGGTCATTGACCGCCGGCCGGCGGTCAATGACCTTGACCTTGACCTGCCGGCCGGCGGCGGCGCGGTCATCTGCGCCCGTTGCTGGTCCGTCCACCGCTGTCGCCGCCTTCGCGAGGCTGCCGCCGTCGGGATCGTGCTCTGCTGGCTCGGCTGCCGGCGGGGCTGCTTTAGTTTAGTTGCATACATTGGTTTGGTTGCATCCGATTCCGGTTCATACATTGTGAGCACGTGTGCAGAGTGGGGGGCTGCCAGCTCCGCGTTGCTTGGATCCGCCGCGCCGGCCCGGTCTCCGACGTAACTGTGTACATACAGTACACAGTTACGTTACGTTAGTACACACACACCACATACATACATGTATGTGGTGTGTGTATACCTCTGGGCAGAAACGCGGACTGTACGTACTTACACAGTGTATGGATGGTGTTTGGCGCTGCTGAGGTTGTGTCAAGTGTCAACCATTCGGATTGATTGGCGTGAGCCATCGTTGCCGTTTGAAGTAAATAAACCGAGATACATAAAAAACTCTGAACCTTTTCCAGACAGACGGTTTCTCTGGATAGCTGTCGATGGATGGCCAGATTTCTTCAGAGCTGCGAGTTGAGAAAGAGGTAAGTAAAAATGGCTGCATTAAAATGTATGAACGTCTGGAGTTTTGCGACGCGATAACAATGCAATAGGTACTTAGGTAGTTTGCCTTGTTCAAATAATCAAATCTCTCTTTGAAGAAAACCACGGAACTATTTTCTTTCTTTTCTTTTTTTGCTTGTGTACCACAGAGCGGAAATAATATTTTTACATATTTGTCAACAGGTTCATAAAGGAGACGTGATTTCTGTCGGCTCCATCAAGTATAATCAGAAGAACCTTCTGGGAAAAGGAGGCTTTGGGACGGCTGTTTATCAGTAAGTCATCCCTAATTCGATGGATTTACCTACAAGACAAGACAATCCGCGAAGCAGCTCAAAGCACGGGCCACATATGGGCCAGCTTCGCAGCGATGCACAGTCGGTCCGATGCACCATTCCGTACTATTATAATCAAGCAGTGGCTGGGCCTCCGCGCGAAACACCAGCCGCTGAGGGAAGAGGGGGAGGGGATGAGATACCTTGTTGTTCCTAGTTACTTCTTCGACGATACGCTCCCAATACGGATTCATAGAAAAGCCCAAAATTACCACTCATATTTCTGAATAAGAAATTGTAGTTAGTGTCAAAAGTTTCTGTCGATCCCATTCGTAACACCCGCGCCCTCGACCAACCAAAAGACATATGGCGTTACGAGTCGAACGACATGCTGCCAAGTGTATTGTATTGTATTGTATTGTATTTACATTTAAGAGCGATCCACATACAAAGTGCGTGGCGATTACTGCTCAGAATCCGTATCCGCGGTTGCTAATCTAATCATTCAAAACAGTTGCACATTCACTCACGTCAAAACAAGGTGTCTCAGGACAGCCTCATCGCTTTTACCCACCCCTATCAGGGGGGCGACACGGCTATTCGCGCAATGTATTCATTTATGGGCCGCGCGGGGCCTCGCGATGACGCGGCTGGAGGCAACTGGTCAGCGCGCTAGGATATTCTGGCGGGGCCGGGCGCTGAACGGTGTGCAATGAATGGGTTATGGTCGGGCAGACAGAGATCAGGTATTGAATTTGAATTGACATAAGCAATCGGGTGGGGAAGGAGAACGTTTCTAATCGAGCTTGGGATGGGGAAAGCCGAAAATATCACGATCGGCTCATAGCTCCGACCGGGCCGGGTGCCGTACCATGTGTAGTAACTAGTATATTTAGGCGGGCAGACAGAGATGAGTTATTGGATTTAAATTCACCTTACCATCGGTTTCTGGTGGGGTTTGAAGACGTTTTTAGTCAAGCTCGGAGTGGGGCAACCCACTGGCGGATCCAGGGGAAGGCATTTGGGGCAAATGTCTTCCCCCACAACCAGGGCAGCGCCCGAAATCGCTTTTCGAGAATAAAAGAAAACTTAACTTTTCTGAGGAAATGTTGGTTAATCACACTGCACAGCAGTGCGCATGGAATCGAAATCCGAGTTTTTAAATTAATTCCGATAAACCTTTTTGGGGTAAGCCCCTGCAGTGTCCAAGACCGCTTCCTGGATCCGCCAGTTGTGAATAAGTCACGGTCGATACAGAGCTTCGGCGGGACCAGGCGCTGTATTCGTTGTTCTTTCAATGAACAGACACCTAGCCCCACATCCTACTGCTATGCCCGTGCTTCTGTGGGTGAAGCATTAAAGCATCACGGAATCACACAGGACCTGCGAGTCGACGAGGTGGCCGCTTTGGCCGCCGGGTACTGCAGCTCCCTGGAGTTGCCTGGGACCGATGGCAAAACAACAGCTCCGGCGGTGCCCCTATGGGCCGTAGTAATTAGTGCATTCCCGTATTGTAGAGATCATATCGTCAATGATCTCCATTACCATTTTATATTCCTAAACAGTATGACAGACCAATTATGCTTGCCTACGTTCAGGCATTACCTCTGATGGTCATACCGTCATGCACCCAGTACAACATGTGTTGTCTGTCAAACAACAATCGACGACGGGATCCCTTCTCATCATCTCTTAAGCCATCGGTTGTCAATTCACCCACCCCGTTTCCCTAAAAATAGACGGTCAGATTGGGCCTGGGTCCTTACGACCCCTCTAGATTCGCCAGAGACGGGATCGGATCACCGTTATTGCACCCGTCTTAGTGTCTTTAATACTATGACAGCTTCGACCACGGACGTCGGACGGGGTGATCGTTCCACGAATGTACGCACCATCCAGGCCTAGAATGCATCGAGGTTTAAAAGAATGCAGTCTGTAGATCAATCAACATAACAATGGTGGTATGCAACCACATTAAAATATCTCCCCGGCTCCCGCAACGTTCCAACGCCCCTCCGTTATGCATTCGCCTTGTGTGTCCGCCGAGCCGGCTTGCCTCCAATGACGTCATCGGCCGGCCGGCGGCGTTCAAGGTCAAACGGCTGGTGTCCTTACCTGGAGTTCTATAGCCTTGACCCCTATCCTATTGGTCACCGACGATGTGCTGATTCATCGTCCACGATTGCGGCTTTAACAGCGCGGGCGAAGCGGGCGGGAGGCAGCTGCGACAGTTGAGGTGGCAGGCTGTTCAGCAGAGCTGCAGCTCGATAGCCAAACCGCCGCTTGCCCGTTTCCAGCCGCGGACGGGGAAGATGGAAGAAGTGATCTTGCCTGGATGGTCTCTCGCGGATAGCGCTATTAGCGACGAACAGGGCTGCTAGTTGCTCAGGTTCTCGGCGCTGTATGACCTTGTGTGCGATGACAAGGGTGTGGAAATCGGACATACCGCGCGGGGACAACCACCCGAGTTTTGTTCGCAGGTCGGAGACATGGTCAAATTTACGGCGGCCGAAAATAACTCTAGCGGCGAAGTTAAGATTTTTTTTTGGAGTCGATCGAATTTTTTTTGGGACCCATTACCATAAACTGAAAGGCAGTACTGGATACGCGATACAACGAGTGCCGTCACGAGCGTTCGAATGATGCCATCTGGGAGACAGTGGCGCGCGTGTGAAAGACCAATCAACAGTCCCGTACACCGGCGGCAGAGTTCAGAGACGTGTGCGTCCCATGACAGAGTGCTGTCAAAAGTGACGCCAAGGTTCCCGACTTGTGCGCACGGTTGCAACGCTGCGTTGCGGAATGGTACTCTAAAGTCTGGTAATTTACGAAGATTTTGACGAGTGCCAAATACAATAAGCTGTGTTTTACTTGCGTTCACTTTGAGGGCGTTAGCGCAAAACCAGTCATTGAGAGACGCGAGCGAGTCCTCCATGCGCGAGATGAGAACTTCGAGGTCCCGAGCTGGACCGCTAACCAATACTTGAGTGTCATCGGCATACTGAAACACTTTTGCGTCGCCCGCGTATAGCGATAAGTTGTTAGAGAAAATGGTGAAAAGAAGCGGCCCTAACGCAGAGCCCTGGAAGACACCCATGGCATTAGAAAGAGGCCTAGATAGCACTCTACGTCCGGATACATCTTTCAAAGACACGCTCTGAGTGTGTCCATGTAGATAGGCGGCGAACCAGGAAATTTCAATGCCGTGTAACATCAGTTTTTGCATCAGAAGATCGTGGTCAATCACGTCGAAACATTTACTGAAATCGAGAAGGCATAGCATTGACAAATCCCCCCTATCAGTGGCGGCCAGGATGTGTTCAGTGACAGACAGCAACGCGGTTTCCGTGGAGTGCCGGGGGCGGAAGCCGTGCTGGGAGGATGCCAGAAGGTGATTATGGGAGAGGTAGGCGTAGAGCTGCTGATGGACAATGCGTTCAACTACTTTCATGATTACAGGAACTAGGGAAATGGGTCGGAAGTTTGCGGGGTCTGAAGGGTTACCAGACTTGAACAGAGGGTGAACTATGGAATGTTTCCATGAATCGGGGATGTCAGATTGGATTAAGCAGGTATTGATAATATGCAGGATGACACCACCAATAGCGGGGAATCCGAATTTCAGCATGCGGACACAGACGTTATCGGAGCCGCAGGCACTCAAGTTACGCATGCTGAAAATAATCCGCTCGAGCTCCCCCAGTGTTATCTCACGAAGTTGAATAACACTGGGGGAGCATTAGGGTCTTAATGAAGGTATGTCATACATTTGAAGTCACATAATCATCCTTGTCCATTTTCGTTCGCCCTATGACTTCATAGAAAGTTCAGGAAAGACCAAATCGTACCGATATACGATTAACCCTATTAGTGGCAGGGGGGTTGTTTTTATCCACCCCTCAGGTTTTTCGGGAATATCTCCGAAACCGCTGAAGCTACGATGCTGAAATTTTCTGACTTTTCTTAAAACTAAATTGGGCACATTCCCTGAAAATTTCAAGTTCATAACTCTACCAGGGGCGGCTCCAGAGCACTGGGAATTGGGGGTCCTATTCGTGAAGCGAGTCATTTGGGCGAAGATCACGATGCTGCACCAGTTTTACGAACAGTGAATGAAAGGTATCATGTGATAACACATATAAAGTTATTGTGCATCCTCTTTTGACACGTTTTTGCTATAATAGGCGGATCCAGGCGTCCAAAAAGGGGGTTATTTTTTACCTCCCAACATAGGTGCCCTGACACCGCCTATGCATGACCAATACAATTTTAGTCGTTCTCTCATATGAAAATTGTAACATAACAAGACCATTGCCACCCTTTTTAGAAACAGTACCAACAAAAACCTTATTTACTATACTTTTTGTGTACCCCCAATCTCAATGATATGTATCCGCCTATGATTTTTGAAAATGCATATTTTTAGGATCCATGTGAATTCCTGGTTCATTCTCTATCGATCGGCAAAAGTTGCGTTAAGATTGGTTCAGAAACCTGGCCGTGATAAACAGTCTAAACTGTATCTGCAATTTGCCCGTTTTTACCCCCCTCTACCCCCCTATTGACATTTTTTTTTTTTTAGAAATGTAGATCTCGTTGAGCCAAATCGAATGCCGTTTGAATTTTGAAAATCGGCCGGTTAGATCTCGAGATATCAAGGGGGGGTCGTAAACAGCCCCCCCCCTGCCACTAATATGGGGTAGCCAGGAGCCTGCCACTAATAGGGTTAACACGCGCAGTGGAAGGGTTGCGAGTACTACGCCCAGTGGAAGGGGGGGGCGGATGTCGCCCCCCCCCTAAGATCTCAGCTCCCACTGGAGCTAGAAAGACGAAATTTGGAGGGTAGGTGGGGGCCATGGGGAACTCTGTTGTGTGTGAATTTCATGACCCTAGGTCAATATCTTCAAGGTCAAATGAGGTCAAATATGGTCAAATCTGCCATATTAGCGACTTTTTTGCGTTTACACGCCGATAACTCAAAAAGTTACCGGCCGATTTTTCTAAATCTTTCACTATACAAAAGAGCAAAGATTTGTGAGTATGTATGGTGAATTTCTAGATAATCCAACAATAAATATGGCAGTTAGAAGCCTGCTAAGGGTAAGATGTCGCCGGCTGAAGCGGCATCGGCCGACGCGGGAAACGCGGCAATCACAATTTTGTGTTTACACACTCATAACTCAAGTTGTTACCGGCCGATTTTCAAAATTCTTTGACCATATGATGGCCTGTACATTTCTCAGTCTTCTCACCGAATTTGACGCGAATCTAATATAATCAGCGGTAAGGAGCGCGATGTAAAGACGGAACCGTCCCGCCCCGGCACAGTCTACAATTCAGGCGGCGCGTAACGGCTAGCGCCGGCCGCCGCGCCGCCGCGCCGCCGCGGCGGCAGGATGTTTGACTTTACAGTACACCGCTATTACTAGAAAAGTTGTGAACCGATTTTCTTACTTCTTGCATGAGAAGCTCCGCAATTCAATTCTGGACAGGTAGCCGAAATTTCACATTGATATTATGCTTGCGGCGCGAGTTATTGGCGAAAAACAGGAGGGGTGGGCGAAATCCGCCCCCCCCTTCCACTGCGCGTGTTAAATTGCGCGGGCCAGGGGGGACGTTGTCCGCCCCCTGGCGAACATTGACGGTGGCTCCCGAACACAAAGGAATAGCAAAACGAAACTTTCAGTACCTTTTCTCCCATCAATTTGACATCTTCTGTAGTAAAAAGTTGGACATAGCCCCTTGATGACGTCACATGCTTGATTTTTCTAGACTCCTTTATCCTGCAAGTAACTATGAAGAAAAATTACGAACACGGTTGTGTAGCGTTCTGCGTTTGGCCCAGAAAAAAGAAAATCATTTTCGTGACCTTAGGTCAGAGGTCAGGGCAACGACCCCGAGCCTGGGGTCTGAGTTTTTTTTTCGCAAATAACTTCATCAAAAATGGTCATAGAGCCACGACAGTGGTACTTATCATAACATTCGCCTTGTCAAGCCGCGTCGAATGATACGATAGAGAGAGAGAGAGAGAGAGAGAGAGAGAGAGAGAGAGAGAGAGAGAGAGAGAGAGGGAGAGAGGGAGAGGGAGAGAGAGAGGGAGAGGGAGAGGGAGAGAGAGAGAGAGAGAGAGAGAGAGAGAGAGAGAGAGAGAGAGAGAGAGAGAGAGAGAGAGAGAGAGAGAGAGAGAGAGAGAGAGAGAGAGAGAGAGAGAGAGAGAGAGAGAGAGAGAGAGAGATGACATGTGCCAAAAACCACAGGGGGAGGGGTGTTCACTGTTCATCCCCTTTCCAGCAGGGCGCGGGTTAAAAAAAAACGAACTCCACGCACCTTGTGCAACCTTTTTTGGCACTTGCATGCAATATCGCTTCCTCATCTAGCCGGTAATGATCTGGTTAAATGTTATTATAGGTCAATGTTAAATATAAATGTTTTTGTACGTTAAATGTTATTATAGGTAAATAATTAGGTATTATAGGTCAATGGAAGTGACACTATGGATGTTTTTGCACACAGGGGACAGTGCGGAAAGCGGGAAAATGTGGCAGTGAAACGTATACCCTACTTCGATAAAGAAGAAGACTTCATTGAAAAAGAAATCAAGCACCTTCAAAAACTAGAAGAAGATGGCATCAATGTCATCAGGTAAGATTGCGAGTTCCAAAAATGTTCATCACGAATTGCCTGGCGATTAGTGACACATAGCAAATGCGAATTAAAAATTATACAACTATACCTTCGTCCATGGAGGCCGATGTTTGTCCAGTTGCGGGTGCCCGAGCCCTCCACACTCCACGCCGGCTCGACTTTGGAGCCGCAACAGACAGCGCGGGTCAAGGCCCCGCTTGGGTCGCGGCGGATTTGCAGTGCTCGGACACCTCCATCTCAGCAGAATCGACACTCATGCTCATAACCCGGCACCGCACAGTGATGCAAATGGGGTTCACGAGTGGCTATAACCCTATTCCTGGCGGGGGGGGGACCTCAGGAGCCCCCCCTGAGGTTTTTTGGTTATATCTCCCAAACGCTTTGAGCTAGGAAACTCAAATTTTCTGACTTTTTCTAAAAGGCTTTTACGCAACATTTCTAAAAATTTTCCGTTGATCTGACCTCAGGTCAGGTCACCAGAGGTGGTTTGGTGACCCTACCTCAGAAAAGTTTGCAATCACGCCAGAGCTAGAGCTTTTGACCGATCAATTTCTTCTCTTCAGGCTTTAGTTAGGGTACCAGTATGTGCAATTTGTATATCTCAGAATTTTCATATCTGTGACCTGAGGTCAGGCCAGACTCGTGACCCTTACATTGCAAGCCTATGGGAAAATATTGAAACGCCTCCTGCTTCGTGTAAACGAGTCAAAACCACCCATTTCTTTCAGTATTATGGAAGATTATCTCATCGGTGATGATCCTGGTGCCGCTAATTGACAGGGGCACCGGCAAAGGTCATCTGAGGTCATGTGACGTCATAAATCGTTTTTCTGTCAATAAATCACGACATGATGGTGCTAAAGACTTGTAAGTGGTACCAAACTGCTCACCTGGTCAAGGCGCGTCGTTTGGTATGCAGCATGACCATACCCCACAACCTCATTGGTGAATGACCTGACCTTGACCTCAGGTCAAATTTTAAATTGACCTGTGAAGGTCATCACATACTTATTTCGCATCGCCTCGGCGAGAGCAACAAAAATGTATTGGTTTTATGTCTCTATGTTTCTTAGTTTAAAAGTTATATAGGTAACTAATTCCAAAACATTTTATCGTTGATGACCTCTGGTGACCTCAATATTGACCTGACCTGAAAATGTTTTATGTAAAAGTTGTAGATCTTTAAACGACCTATCAAACGCCGTTCGCCGTTTGTCGCTGCGATGTGTAGTTTTTTAGATCTGAAGGGGGGGGCCGAATCGGCCCCCCCCCCGCCAGTTTCTTGTCCCGGCGGAGCCCGCCAGGAATAGGGATAAATACGAAAAAAGGCCCAAAATTCAGGTTCACTTAATCGAATAAAACGTACTATGGTCAGTCAGGCAAATGTTTGGGGTGTCTGAAAAAGTATGATTTTAATGTTTTTGTCAAAACCGGCCTCGTGTAGGATTGTCAGAAGTCGATACATTTTCGATGTCGTAAAATGACTGTCAGGTACTTGAAATTCAAGTGCCGCTAGCGTGCGTTCATGTCATACAAACTGCAAAAATTATACATGAAAATGATCCCCGAAACCTGCTGCTTCTAATGCCACGTCATAAAAAGCCGTATCTATTTTGGTTTGGCGGTGAGCTAACTATTTGTAATCATGTTGCAAGTTGCAACCGCAGTTTTTTACCAAAAATATTTGCTTTCAATTTATCTACAGCACTTCACACAGTGTGTGCCCGTTAGTGCACTATATCATAGCATTCCCTAATCATTTCTGAGTCGCATCGTGAAAGAATTAACCCGCGCACCGACGGGGGTCTGCGCCAACTTCGCACCGACGGGGGGGGGCGGATGACCGCCCCCCCCCTGAGATCTCGAGAACGAAGCAAGATAGCGACAAGCGGTAAACGGCATCGGATACGCACGGCCAAGATCTACAATTTTTACACAGGTCATTTTCAGGTCAGGTCAAAGATGACGTCACAGGGGTCGAAAAAGTCAAAATGGCGGCGCTAGATATGGAGAGAGTTTTTCTCGAATAACTTTCGAATTAGTCAAGGTAGGAACAAACTAAGGGCATCATCGTGATCCTCTCGTCAATCCGCATCGAATGATATATATGTTGACCTCGAAAGGTCAAGGTCAAATGTTGACCTCAGGTCACGTGACCTCGAGGTCATCATGTATATCATTCGATGCGTCTTGACGAGCTGAACACAATGAGACCATCCACGCGTCTGTATCTTGTTCCTGTACGGAGTTATTGGCCAAAAACCTTTGGTGACCTTTGATGACGTCACATGACCTCACAGCTGCCCAACAGCAAAACAGACCTCAAGGTAGTGAAGGTTGATCGTATATGAAGTCATGTATGGTATATGGGGCCATTCCGACCCGTTTTAGTGGTAAAAACAGGGAGTTGATTTTTCCCCAATTGACTTATAATTGGGAGGTCGCGAAATTGACCTGACCTTAGGTCACCGATATCAAAATTCCGAGATATACAAATTGTAGCTACTAATGACCTAATAATATCCTGCGACTTTCAAAGGCCTCCGACATCTACTGTAGCTCTGGCACGGTGACAAAGTTGCAAAAAAGTGACTTGAGGTTGGGTCATTCAAAGTGACCTGGTGACCTGACCTTAAAAGGTAGGAGGTTCAAACTCGCACACCATGTGTAAAATTGATGACGTTATAGTCATACTAAATTCCGCGGCGCTACGCGCCGCGGTTTTCCCGCTATTCGCGAAAAACCTCAGGGGGGGGGCGGATATCCGCCCCCCCGTCGGTGCGAGGGTTAAGGCGCTAGCACAGGGCTGACCGGCGCTACAGAAGTTTTCGTCCGGCACGGTCGGGTGCCGCGGCGCAGCGGGCGGCCCGGGCGGCCGCGCCGCCGTAATAACGATACAGCAGAAACTAGCGCTCGTAATTAGCGCACTAGCCTTTGGTATTGCATTTATCGCAAATTAATATCCTCATGATTATTCTTCATATTCTGAGCTGAATCGGTGTTGATATACCAAAAAGAGAGAAGCGGTTACCAACTCCACCAAATGAAAAGCAAGCTATCGCTCAGACACTTCCTGTCGATTCCATGTATAGCCCGGCAGGCGGTAGGCCTCCCGGCCACCTTCCGCGCTGTGGGGGGGATTTTTTGCCCCCCCCCCCGTATCTCCGAAACTACTGGACGGATCCGGAAAATTCGAACGGCGTTCGATAGCTCTGTCAAATTTGTTAGGGGAAACCAAATTTCATTGACTTCGGGGTCACCGATGACGTCACAGGTCAGGTCAAAGATAAAATGTTTCACCGTTCACGGTGCTTCTAGGGAAAGCGCTATAACACCGACTAAAACGCATTTTGTCGAAAATAAGCGATAAGGTGTCAGTTGTCTACAGGGCTGGGAAAAATGCTGAATCTGCTACATACCAGATATTACGAGAAACTCTTTATTAGCTACATTGCCACAAATGTTCCTCACATCATTTCTGCTAGAGAAAATGATTTTACAAGTAATCAAAATTCTGGACAGAGCTTTCCACTTTCATTTTCTATCTATTCTCAAATTGAGCTTTGAATGTTTTTAGTTAGTTGGTTGCACAAACAAAAACAGATACAGTGTCTTGCTTATGCCCCCTGTGAATGTTCTTTTTCTTATTTTTTACTCTTTGTAGGTACTCACTACTCAGGTTTAGAAAAAGCATACAAATATCAAAATAAGGTGCTGTAGGGCTTTCTCATGGCAAGTTCCAGCACCACCTGAGAGCACCATGGAGAGCTCCAGTGAGCCCTAGAATTTTCCTTTCAGCATTCCAGCAACTTCAGGATTCAGATGGTATCAGCCTACTCAGGCAGAAAGTATTTGAAAGAAATCAGGTTGATTTGGCTGCTCAGTCTGGTCAACAATTTACAATCATTGTGCATGCCGAACCCGCTGTACAAAAGTTGCCAGTTGCCACCAATCAAGGTTTAGAGTTAATACAATAATTGAACATGTAAAGAAGTAAATAAAAAATTCTTTTCTGGGCGTTACTTGATCAATATTTCAATCAGATCTCACCTTCTGCGCAAATTCGATCATAGGTATCTTCCTATATCTTCACACATCTTGCTTTGCGTGCTGGGCGGCTACCTTGCTCTTTAACTGTGTACTGCACGCCGCTTTAGGGACAGTTGTCATTGCAACACTTGAAATTTGGCCTGGAATATCCCACTTTCCTAAAATAGAGGCAAAATAAAAGCTAAAAAAGCTGAAATAATTCAAAAACACCCAGAAACACTCATCAAACTCAACTGAACTATCCACGCGAAACGACAACTAGAATTGTCTCTAATGCGCCAGAAACAATGCATCAACAAAACACACAAACAGCAATGACGTAATTTGCATATTTTTGACAAGATTTCTTAATAAAACTTACAAAAAATGTTCATTAGTTCTTTAAAACTCTAATTTAGTTTAAATAAGTATGATTTTAACAATAAAATACATAAAAACTGAATAAAATTGTGTATGACGTCATCAAAAAGGATTAAAGACGTTGCAGGACACTGTATCATAAAAGATGGCTTTTTAGAGATGCCATGGGCAGAATGAGTTGATTCTTTTCGTATTTTTATTGATCATTGAACAATGCCATTTTAAAAACAATCAGTTTTGTTTCGTAAATATGTCATTTGAATATTTCACAAATAATGAAACTCCTTTTTGCAATATTCATAAGGAAGATAGCGCAGAAAAAGGCGTAGCAGATACCTTTTGTTACACGACTCAGAGTATGAAGAATTAGTGATGCTACAATGGAAACTGCTACAAAGAGCCGCCAGATTCGTCATAAAATGGAGCACAAAGCTGACGTTTTGAACTTGTGTTAGTCTTACAGTCACAGGGTTGTATACGACTCAATCAATAGCAATCAATTCAATCACGACAAATTTGGGAAACCAATCAAATCAATCAAGTCAGAGCAGTTTTCGGGAATTGATTCAATCGACTCAAACGCGACA